GACCAGGAAGGCGGAAAGGCCACTGGCTATGCAGATCAGGGACATGGCACGAGATTGGGAAAGCTGCAGGGCACATTTGAGAGAGGCCTTTCGACGACCAGAGTTCCCTCATCCCAGAGTCGAGAGGCGGCAGAGGAGTCAGAGGCCGAGGGACCCTGAGCCCAGGGAGGCGAGACCATCTCGAGGAGGACGGAAGGCCCTAGCCAGGAGAGAGCAGGAGCCAGATGATGAGGAGCGAGGGGCATACCCTGAGTGTGGGTTGGGGCCAGTGGAGTTCCATCGTTTTACTGAGGGTGGATTGAGGAGGTCGCTAGCACACACACAGGGGGAGCCATCAGCGTCAGAGGGGCCCTTGAGGGAATTGGAGATGCATTTAGATATTTCTCGGTGGAGGGCATCGCTTCAGGGTGAGGGGCATGGAGAGCAGACAAAGGAGGTGCCACGAGAGGAGGTACCACAGGAAGAGGTTCGGGGTACTCAGCGAGAGAGAGGGTTGGGCGATGAGGGGAGACGTGCAGGGAAGGAAGTGATAGAGGATGGAGAGGACACGCCCCCACAGACGCCAGCAGTGGGTTTGAGACTCGGGGATGCACCAGGGAGCACACGGCCGGCAAATGAGGGGTTGCAGAGAGAGGAGACCCATTTACCTTTGTCAGAAAAGGCTCCTTCGCCAGAAGGGAGGGCAGAAAGGAGGAGAGAGAGGGCAGCTGTAAGGAGAGAAACTTTGATCCTGATTGATAGGCACCTAGCAGCTCATGCCCTGGAGCACCCAGACCTGGAGAAGCCGGCACCTGCGGAGCCACGCCAGGAGTCATGCCAGCCCGAGAAGGAGATGGAAGCAGAAATCCCAAAGAGGGTCGACCTCCACACGAGGGAAAGGGTGCCAGCTGGCTAGACGGCCGAAGAAAAGAGGGCAAGACCGACCAGGCGGATAAATGAGATATGACAGGAGAGGCAGAGGTTGCAGGGGAGCTCCCGGAGCAGCAGCAGGAGAGGCAGAGATCGGAGGCAGCAGGAGCACTCCCGGGTCAGCCGCCCAGCGCGTCAGCCAAGGCCCCAGAAATTCCTGAAATGTGGAGAGACTTCTGGGAGCAGAGAGGAGAGGAGCTTCCATCGCCAGTCAGAGCCGGGTTTGGGGTGGCCAGGAAGGCGGAAGAAAGGTTAGATCGTAAAATCAAGTTCCTGGCCAAGACCACTTTTGACCGGCACTTGTTATTGAAGGGCGATCTGGCGGGGAAAAAAATGAAGGAAGCCAGCCATGGAGTACGTCTGGAGGCTATGGAGGTGGAAATTCAGGAACTTAGGGCTTTGGTGGCCAGCCAGGCAGCTATCATTGAGAGCCTGAGGCAGCAAACCCAGGGAAAGGTGGACAGACCAGAGAGCAGCCGGCAGGGAGAGCAGAGGCAGCCAGGACAGCCATCTGCGACAGAGCCTCGCCAGGAGCCGCCTATGGGGAGAGTTATCCTGGAGCCAGAGGAGGCGAGAGCGCAGAGACAGGCAGAGAGAGAGGCGTTCGAGTTTAGAGCCCCTACTGAGCTCGCGATGCTACCGGTGGCGGCGGCAGGCCCAGTCGTACCTTTGGCAGTAAAGGAGGGGCTGCCACCATCTAGCAGTGAGCCGGCTCAGGGCTCGGCAGAGGGATCCATGAGCGTGCTCCTTGAGGCGGTGCATACTATGCAGGAGGAGGTGAGTTTGTTTTCACCTGAGTAGAGGATAGAGGAACCCTTTGAGAGAGAGATGGGGATTGAGGAGGAGGGTGCCATCGAGGGCAGACTCCAGAGGATAGGCACACCTGAGTATGGACCAGAGGAGATTGAGGAGCAGCCCACGGCAGTGCCAGGGGCGACACTCGAGAGGAGGCCTCAGAGGTTGGATACGCCCGAGTACGTTCCAGTGACAGAGGATTTGAGAGGCAGACTAGGATYCTGGGCTACTGGATCTGGGTCTGGTGGACCAGTTCCGGGAACAGAGCGACAGGAAGTCGTTGGTACTGCAGTTCCTCAAGCAGAGCAACAGGGGGTTATCAGTACCTTGGCAGGATCTCCTTCATCACCACCTCCTCAGCCCAGGAATGAGAAGTTCAAGAGGAAGGTTGATCAACTATGTTTCTACTGCAAGAGGAGCGCGCATCATGCTTTGGACCGTCTCGAGTTTCTTAAGGATAAGGCAGCAGGGAAGATCTCAGAGGTAGGGGGTAAAATGTATGATAGACAGGGTAGGATAGTAGAGATGTTCGCAGATGGACTTAGGGCTCTGTTATATAGGCAAAACCAGGAGGAGTTGAGGAGGTAGGGCTCGGTTTTTTCTATATAAGTGAGCGAGCATTTTGTGAGGTATCAACTTAGGTTCTGTGTGATACCATTTTTGACTTAGAAGACATTTTAATGATTACTATTAATCTAGATCTGAACTCTAGTGTTTCTACTGAGTTCGGGTTTTGAGGGTCAGGGTGGTTTAGATGAGGCATGTACATATTTAGGTGGATTACGTCCTAGCCTTTGAGAGACAGATCTGACATGTATTTTAGGGGTAGTTGTCAGTGTGGGTTTGGTGTGGCTTGAGTTGAGCAAGCTATGATTTGGAGACACTTTCTGTGTGAGACATTGTACTCCCTTAGTGTATATTATGATGAGGTTTCCTTCAGGGACCATTCTTATATGTGACGATCACTTGTCTCTCTCACATGTGTGGTTGTACTCTGATGTATGATGAGTTTGTGTGGACAATGTGTGAAAAACCTTTTATGTATCTTGGGTATTGTGAAT